GGGCCCCCCGCCCGATATGCCGCCGCCGGCCCCAGGCCCGCCCCGTAGCCAAGGGGCGGCCCTCCGTGGAGGGGGAAAGAACACGGGGTCGGTCTTGGCCACCGTCGGTCTTGGTCAGCGTCGATGCGTGGACCACCCTCTCGCATCGGCGGCGGCCGACATGGACCATGACCAAGATCAGCATCGACGAGATCCCGCGACATCTTGGCCATGGCCCCCGAGTTACTTCCCCTGGTCAATCCAGACCTGGGTCAGTCAGGCCTTGCAGGAACCCAGGAACCTGCAACCTCCTGCAGGATCCCGCAGGATCCTGCACTCAAGCCAGGGTCAGTGCGCCCCTGGCCCTGCAGGCTCCTGCAAGATCCCGCGCTCGGACTTGAAGGGGCCCTGGGACACACAAATAAACACACAGATAACAGGATTCCCCATATCTTCGCATGTGTTCTGGGCTTTGCTCTTCCCCCCCGCTTCCCATATTTCCCAGATTTCCTGGGGAATCGACGATCAATTGTTTTTTGTTTCTCCGATTTAGTCTGCGAGACGGGCGGACGTATGACCTATCATCACTTGGGAGAGCTCGTGCTACCTTTTGGAAACAAGCCTCTCCCAAGCCTTGACAACACCTCCCTGCCCGCTTCAGTGGGGCCGTGAAGGACCCAGATGCCGCTGATGCAATTAATTAGGAGGTGGCTACACAGTACCCCCCGCAAACTTGGCAGAACAGAATTCCGCGAAGACGAATCGGCGTACGAGAACAACGAGAACGTGTGTCTGTGTGTGTGTGTGTGTTTTCCCCTCCTGAGGACGGGCCCCCCTTTCCCTTGAGATCCCCGCCTCTCGGGCCCCGACCGCGGCCGCAGGCCGAGACCCTCCTCTGCCCGCGGCGGCGGGCGCGGCCCGCCAGCCGAGCCGCGCCGCACCCCGGCGGAGACGAGCCGCGGGGCGCTTTTCCGTGCGAGCGTTATGTCGGGCGTGTCCCCCTACGGGGGGATTTTTCCGACGAGAAATAGACAATACCCCAAAGATACCCCAAGAAGGCCAAACATTATTCAAAAAGTAGTCCCCAGACTATGTTTTGGACTACTTCTTCGTCGAAAATCCCCCTGTAGGGGGACAGGCCCGACTTAGTGCGAGCGCCACGGGGACCACCACGCCGCTGCGGGCACTGCGCGGAGGCGGCCGCTGCGAGCGCGCCGGGCGCCGTGAGCCAAACAAGACTGCAACGCCAGCGCGGAAATCACGGGGAGAGCCCCCGACCCTAACTTTCTGCGGCACCCTCTGTGTGTACATATATATATATATATATAGTGTATATATATACATAGAGAGAGAGTGTATATATATAGAGATATATAAAATAAAGTTCGGCTCACGATATGTGTATATATTTACATGCATATCAATACGCACACATTCGAACGAATGAATAAACGAGTGAGTGCACGAATGAGCAAAGTTGTGTCTGTGTGTCCATGTACGAACAGGGATGGAGTATGCGTAGGCCCACCAGTGAGTTCTTGCACTCTCGAATCTAAAAGCTGTGCGGCGCAAGTCGTGGTGCAAACTATTTGGTGCAATCAGTGTGGTCCAAACTATGTTGTGCAAGCTGTGTGGTGCAAGCTACATGGTACGAAGTGCAATGCATATACGGCGTACTCAAAGTAGATGGTGCGATACATTACCGTGACGAAAGTTTCTTTCAATCTGCCTTGGCCAATTGCGCAGCAGGGCGGAGTAGTTCGGCGTAAAAGTACTCGAACTACTCCGCGCACGGGCAAATCCTGCTCGAAACTGTCTACGGTGTGCGCGGAATCGTGTCCGATCCGGCTTTGAGGTAGCAGAGATATAAGCATCAGGCGGATCGGAAACTACACCGCGGAAAGACACCATCATCATGATGTCAGAAACCGCTGCCAAAGCACATGGAAGAAACTGTTGCCACGGCCGTGTATACGTGGTGTGAGATGTGTGGCGCAGGCTATGTCGTGCAAGCTATGTGGCGGCCACGAGGCGCCTACGGGCAGGCTACAGCGTGTACAGGTACATCTGCCTGCGTCTTCGCGAACGGGCACAACCTCTCGACGTCGGCGCTGCTCGTGGAAGCGAAAGCGGGGGAACACGAGAGCGTGGGGCCCTTCCAGGGCCCCAGCTCTGGCCGAAATCTGCACGTTGACCTGAAACGCCGACCAGGGCATCCCCTTTGTTGAATGAGCCGATCCACAGTCCGGCCAGAAGCAAAACTCCAAAAACGCCCCGGTCATCTCAATCCTCCGCCCTCCTCGTTGAGGGGGAACGTTAGGAATGACCAGCTCAGAGGGGGGAAAACGTCGAGCGGGACTCATCGATACGTCGCCGATTGATCAGCGATAGGACCCCGGCATCGAATCTGAACCGTCATGGGCGGGGTGGGTTATCAGGCCCCTATCGGCGATTGGGGGTCGATGCGTCCCCCCCTGAGCCTATTCTGAGTACCTCAATGGTTTCCGGGTGACTAATAGTCCGAGGGGGGCCCTGTGGTCCGGGGGGTAGTCTGCCGGAGGGGGTCCTTGTAGTCTGGGGGGGGGTCCCTGTAGTCCCGGGGGGGGGGCCCTTGTAATCCGGCGGGGGCCCTTGTGCTCCGGGGGGCCCTTGTAGCCCGGGGGCCCAGAACTGTTGGGGTGCTCCGAGTATACAGTGCACTTCTCATCGCTGGCAGATGTTCAGCGTTATTTTGCTGCTGGCACACGCTCAGCTGCTTCTTGGCCGGCACAGTGCTGCGCCGTTAATTATCTGCTTCCCATGCGCTGTGTCCCAGCCTCTTACCGCCCTCTGGACTTTTCCGTGCGGGCCGCGAATCAAAAAATATACAGTGCACACCTGCGCTAAGAAATCTTGCTGCAAGAGAGATCTCGGGGCGCATTCTTCGTCGAGCTCTGAGGGCCCCAAGGTGCCCCAGAGCTTCGGTGGGCCCCCCGGGCCGTCGCGGAACCAAAATATGTCCGCGGAGCAGGCCGATTTCGTAGTTGACGCGCCAATTCTGTCGCCCCCTACGTGACGTCGCCATCGGCGTTGTTCGAAAATCTCCAACCTCAACCCCCTGAGCCGACCCCCCCCCCCCTACGCCAACCCCGTATCCCCCTCGGGCCTAATCTACTCAAATCGGTCCACAGACCCCTCCTGGGATCCATCCTGGCCCGTGTTTCGAAGCGAAGCCAGCCGTGGCGCCGAGAATTGAGCAGGGACTGACCGTCCCAGCATTCCTATAGGCCTACCACGACATGCTCTTAGAACCCAAAGCCGTTCTAAGAACAAAACAACGTTCTCAGAACATAGACCCGCTGTACTTAAGCAAGCCAGTCACAGCCGGAAATGTGCCAAGAGCACTTCGGTTCTCAGAAGATTGTTTGGCGGGCCTATGGGCACGCCAGGACGCTTCGCCACCTCCGGGCGGCCCCCCAAAAAAGGGCGAGTAGACGCATCCCCCCTTCGGGGATCTTCTGACCCGGGTCAATCCAGACCCGGGTCAATCAGGCCTGCAAAATCCTGCAAGATCCTGCACCCAAACCCGGGTCAATGCGAAGGATCCTGCAGGATCCTGCAGGATCCTGCACCCAAACCCGGGTCAATGCGACCCTGGCGCTGCAGGATCCTGCAAGATCCGGCACTCTGGCTGACCCTCGTCTGCACTGACCCCCGTCTCGAGGCTCCCGGCCCCCTGAGCCTGTCCCCCCTGCCGGTGCCCCTGCCCCGCACGGTCGGAACTTCTGGATAGCGTGCGGCCACGGCGGCCCCAGCGACACACTACCTCCTGCGAGCGGATAGCGCGTCGCAGGAGGAGGAGGAAGAGGAGGAGGAGGAGGAGGAGAAGGTGGAGGTGGAGGAGGAGGAGGAGGAAGAGGAGGAGGAGGAGGAGGAGGAGGAATCGGGGAGGAGGAGGAGGAGGAGGAGAAGGAGGAAGAGGAGGAGGAGGAGGAGGAGGAGGAGCAGGTCTTGCTACTGCTACCTCTTACAGATACTCTGCCAGCCAGCGACTCCTGGAGCAACCGCCCCAGGAGTCGCCAGGCGCCTAGTTCTTTGTCACCCCCGCGGGGCCGACCTGCCCTCGAGGGGCGGGCGGCTGGGAAAAGCGCGGGACGTCGACGCCTAAGGACCGCGACGTGGCTAACCGTGTCGCGCCGAGGCGCGGTGGGCCGGAACCCGCGCAGCCGACGCGGCATAAGCCAAAAGTTTAAGGGGCAACGATCAGGGGGGGGGAACGGGCAAAGGAGGGGGGGATGCATCGACCTGGACTCGGCGACACATCGCCGACAGATCGGCGATGGGCCCCCGATGGCGAATCCCCGCCTTCCTGGGCAGGTTGGGGCTATCGGGCCCCTATCGGCGATCCATGGGCGGTTGGGGGCCGATGCATCCCCCCCTGATGCCTATCCCCCCGCATCGTTGCCCCTGTAAGCTCCAGACCGTCCTGGCTAGCTGCCCCCGTCCTACGCCTATCCGCCCCCCTGTGCCTATCCGCCCCCATATGCCATCCTGCAAGCATGGTTCCCCGTCCTAGGCCGATGCCCCCCCCCCCCTGTGCTTATCGCCCCCCCCCTATCGCTGTCCACTCTCGCTGCCCCCGGCTCGCCCCGACCACCTGCCCCCCCCCGCTCCCGGCGCTGGGGCCGCCGCACAGGCGAGCCGAGCGGCGTCGCGGGCGCAGAGCAGGCGCAGCCCAGCGCGCTCGCGCGCCTCGGGGGAGACGCCGCGGCGGCGGAGGCTGCCTCCTCCGAGCTGCTGGCTGCTGCTGATGCTGCTACTGCTGCTGACGCCGCCGCCGCGGAGGTGGCTGCTGCTGCTGCTGCTGCTGCTGCTGCTGCTGCTGCTGCTGCTGCTGCTGCTGCTGCTGCTGCTTCTGCTGCTCCTGCTCCACCTGCTGCTGCTGATGCTCCTGCTGCTGCTCCTCCTCATCATCCTCATCCTGCTCCTCCTCCTCCTCCACCTCCTCCTCCTCCTCCTCCTGCTCCTGCTCGTGCTCCTGC